TTATATATATTATTCCAATAATATATAGGTTTATGTGGGTACTTAGCCTGTTGTCTCTGAAGCCATATGTTACAGTAAGTCAATTCTCTTGAACGATTGAATCAGAAATGTAACAGGCTATGTGTACATGCACTGTGCCTGCATCACTGCCAATCGTAGCTGCGTTGGGTGGTTAGTGTACATGGATAAAGAAATCAGGATTTACTGTTATCCTATTGAATGATGAGCAGAGAGAAATCAGAGTGTTTACATGCATATCATTGCCTCCCATCATACACTGCAGGCTGTATGAATTAGGGCCTGCAAACACAGCCTCATTCTCCTTGCATCACGCCAAGAGTCACTCCATTGATTACCCTTCCCCGCTCCCAGGAAATGGCTCATGCATCTTGTGTACATTATAACAAATGTTCTCTTTGCATTACAATTGAATTGTGATTGTTATGTTCAATCAATGGGGAAAGGTCACGGGATCGCTCCTGCCAGCGCTTTAATGGAGAAGTCGATGAGGATTCATTTTAATCACTGTGGCTGTGGCAGAATGAGCACAACACTGAGAGACTGTCAATGGCCCGGTAATTACCGCTGTTTATACAGGTTCCTGCTTTAGCAATTTAGATATCCACAAATCTCTCTGTTTCTTGCACCCCAGTTATATTGGATGCTGCCTGGCAGCAAATGAAGTACTGTAGGATGTGGGCTGTGACTACTCTAATTGTGGGACTATTGGTGAGGTTGGCTCTTTGAAAATGAAGTGGGCTCCATTTGCTCCTCTTTTGAGTAGTTACATTACCAGAAAGCTGTTATTTTACATAGTTTGTGTGAAGGAGTATTCTATTAGCTCAGCGGAACCTGTAACCGTTATATCAGGAGGTGGAAGATTGTGTGTACATCCCCCATATTTACAGTACACGTCCGGTTAGATTAACTCTACTGTAAATGTGCAAATAGCTACTGGTGATAAATTATGTTATTCTCCAATGGTATTGCTCTTGAACAAATTGTGTTTGTATACACAAGACTCTCAAAGATACAGCTTACTCAGAGTTCCTTCCCCAGAACTCTTGCTACATGTGAACGCTGTCTTCTTTTTCTGACTTCTCAGACTTAATTTTGTGTTTATCTGTTTGTCATACACTTTTCTTTGGTTACTTTGGTTAAAGTGTGTTTTATGCTAACATGCTTTACACATAATGTGACTTTACTTTAACTTCATACATACGACATGACCATAAGATGATTATGTATTATATAACTGCATAACTGTGAAGCAGAAATGCAGCTTAATGTAGATTAGGGCTGCAACTAATCATTATTTTCATTATCTATTACTCCGCTGATTGTTTTCTAGATTAACCGGTCTATAAAATGTCAGGAAATTGTCAAAAATACAAATCAAAAGTCCAGGGTGGTGTAACAAATGCCTTTTGTTGTCCAACCAACAGTCCAAAACCCATAGAGATTAATTTTGCAATTATATAACCCCCCCCCAGAAACTGGAAGTATAAAAATTACTTGACTGATAAAATGATTATCAAAATAGTTTAATAGATAATAGTTAAATAGATCCACACAGCTCTAAAATAGACTGACATTTTGGACTATCACTGAAAAGTTACTGGATTTGATCTGAAGAATACAGAATCACTAAACACTCAATAGGTTAACATTATGAGAGAAGTCCTATACTGTTATTTATAACTGGAAAGAAATTGATATGTTTGCTCTCTGACATCTCCCTTTCACCCCAAGTGGCATGTTTGTGTTGGACGGTGTCTAAGGATAGATAGGGTCAAGGCAGTGTAACCTTGGAGAAACAAATATTCATGATCAATAAGTGCTTTATTCCAAGCATCTTAAATGATTCTTATGTCTGAAGATGCTTCTCCCCCCCTTACTCGCCCATGCAGAAAAGCAGTTTGAAGATTTATGCAGACAAGGTAAAAGGACATTTTAAAAGACTACACAGTATCACTGCTTTCAAATGTCATGTAATCATAGGTTAGAGGAGAGTGCTGGGCACAGAGAGCAAAATGATGTTACAGATAATAAATTGCCTCTGAAATATAATACATCGTGAGTATGATTCTTTGTTCCAAGCTCTGTACACCAACTCTGTTCAATTAAAGTTATTTATCTCTCTTGTTTTTTAAGTTCATCAATTATATTGTGATACACTTAATGTCCATAAGAGGATGATGTATGATTGGTCTAATTATTTCTTATTCACCATGCTTTCTAAAGCATATCAATTTTGTTAATACCATGTAATTAAAACACGTCAGTGCGCTACAAGTTGCTGGCTGTATTAATGACTATGAAAATTATTTTAATTAAATAGCCAATTATAGAAAAATCCTAACCATGAGAATTGACATTTAAATGAATTCAATTTAAATTGCTTTTCAACATTGTTTTATCAAAGCTTTATGGGGTGAATAAATTATTACATCAAACAATGTACTGTGTCATTGATCATACACAAGTCTTGTCCCATATCCATACATTTTGAAGCACTTTCCTGATGCCATACATCATACTGGGTGATTACATTTTGACGTAGTCATTTGTTTACCTCAATCTTATCCACATGTACTGTACTTCTGTGTTTACTTTCAGGAAAACTCTGTTAAGTGTTTATGTTAAGTATTCAGTCACGCTGGAAACTTCATTCACAGTTCTAATTTCCAACTATTTTTGCAGGGACAATTTGAAAGTGCCACAACTTAGTTCCCCTGTTCCTGAAGAAAATATATGACATATATGAATTTTGTCAAACGTAAACAGTTTTCTTAGTGAGCTGTTTCCTTTCAAGGTTCCCAAAAGATATATGATATTTCCGAATGATTTTGCATTTGTGCTGAATTATATCAACAGAGTATTGTGGTGTAATGTTCAGCACCAGTATACAGACATTTTTTTGTGTTGCGCTGTGTTTTCATAACTGAGGTCAGATAGCCCACCCAGTCTGTTGAAAGGCCTTTGTATCTAAAACATCATACATATCCTGTAGTGCCTTTTAATACCTATTAGGTTACTTAGACTCATATATTTTCTTTTTTCCCCCTGCATAATGTTAATGAAAGTCATTTTTCAGACATTACAAGCACAATGATTTGCAGTTAACCCATGCAAACTAGGGAAATAGTGGGCAAACTGTTGTGACATTCATTGTATATAATGAAATCTTAATATGGTGCATATTTAAGTGAAAGGTTAGCAACATAAAGGGCAAATGGATTGCCTGGCAATGAATTTTAAGCAGCTATTGATTTTACACTACAAGCTACCTCTTTCCCTGAATGATAATTTTAAAATGGCACGCTGCTTATCTTAAAGCTGATCTGACTCAAGAGGACAACACGAATATATAGAATATTAAGGCAAATGCAGACTGTGATAAGCAACACTCTTCTTGATGTGCGCCATACTCATTCCACCTAATCAGAATACATAGTAAGTGCTGATGTACTTTCAGAAATTTAGCTAATACAAATGCATCTGATGACAAATAGACAATTTTGATAAAAAAACTGAAAAGCAAAAGTAAAACTAAGAAAGATGTGACTTACACTTTTACACATTATCTTACGTAATGAGCGCTAGCAAATTTGCTGAACGTAAAGACAGTTGTGCTGACGTCTTTCTGCAAAACTTCAAAAAAGCTTCCTGCAAATTGAGAGATTGATAAGTCGTTCACTTATTTTTTCCTCCTGTCTAACAAATGTAAGTCTAAGTTTCAATAAGATGTGATCTATTAATAAATTGTCTAAATCAGAGTAATCCTTGTAGTAATCTAATCCTAGATTATGTACTTCACTGTCATACCTCCTACTGATTGATTTGGTGAGAAAGGCAGGAAGAAAAGTTCTGTAATTCATGACGTGCCACAATGGTTGAATACATGTGTAAACTGTATATGAGCTCTTCACTGCACACGGACATGACCCTACCCCACAATCCAGTGTGGCATTTCCTCCCTCTCTGCCTTTATCCGTCTTTCATGAACTGTCTGAGATTGAGAGAAGGTTTAATTGTGTAAATGTTCTAGCTGGATAAAGCTTGGTTCAGTACTCAGCATCATAGTACAACCCTTGAACAAGCTGGAGTCCTGTCTGGAGGTTGTGCAGTATGTGTACAGTGGCCAAAGTTGACACTGCATCAAGACACCCAAAAAGTAACAGTAACCATTTTTATGGTCAGTATTCAAATGTTGATTTTTAGAATTTTATATTTCGGTTTAACTTAGTATTTGCAAGTGTTCTCACACCACCTCTAATTCTTAAATGTAAACGCAAATTAGGTGGGACCCACCCACCATTGTGTCCCTAAGCAAGACACTTAACCCCTAGTTGATCCAGAGGCGTGCGACCTCTGACATGTATAGCAATTGTAAGTCGCTTTGGATTAAAGCGTCAGCTAAATGAATAAATGTAATGTAAAATGTAGATACTGTACAGTATATACAGTAATCCAAATAGTGTTTTAGTTTGCATATAAAACGTCTGTCAAAAACCCTGTCAAAACAACCATAGCCTCATGTAGTCTCAGGCTGTCATTTATACAAAAAAGCTCTAACCACTTTGGCTGTGTTCATGCAATAAACAGTGAGGACAAATTTAATTAGACATATTTTTCTTCACTGATAAGGTGTACCTTGTACAGTGACTCATACTGGCATGCTCAGTCAGAAAATATGACAAATATGACATTAGAATTAATGTTAATAAAGCTTTACAGTATTAATGCCTGGATGAAAGAAATATAAGTTTGAAAAAGTCTTTACATTGCAGTTGCAGTATCTAATTAAATCAAGTGCAAAAGTTGTTGTAAATATTTTTATGCTTATAGGGTGAATCTAAAATAAGATCACTGTGGTGCAGTGGAATTGCATACAGTTTGATAGGTGTATGACAGTTAAAGTGCAGTTAGAACCAGAAATAACCGTTAACTTAAAGTTTAGATATACCTTGTGAGTGCATGTTTTTCTGACCACGGCAAAAAACAAAAAAACATGCACATTTGTACACGATTGGGATACAACAAGGTCTCTCTTGTGCGGAATAAACAGTGCAACATTTGAACAGACCTGAATCATTTCAGTGGTCGCCCATGCCCAGTTATCTGTTCTTCAAAGGCTTCCACTGTCCCCTAGCTCCTCCCTCTCTGTACCGTGTGACAACAACAACTCATCCACAGAGCGGAGCTGCACTTTTCAGCTCATTTTCCTCCTGTCATTCCTCCTCCTATCTTTGATCATTGTCCCGCCGCTCAGCCCCCCCAAAACCCTCACCCAGCACGCCTTTTTTCGGCAGCTCTTTTTACTTCCCAACTTATCTGAGGAGCTAAACTCTCGTGGATTCTTTCATTTAGGGGTGTCTCGGCAGGCTGGGTTTTATACTTTGAACTTCGGCTACTCTCTTCCCCTCCTGTAGGTGACCATGGCCGTACCGGCTGCTCTGATCCCACCAACTCCTTTGGTCCCACCGCCTCCGATCTCGACTGCCTCCGCGACGACGTCCCCGCCGTCGACAACTTCATCGCCGTCTCCATCCTTGGCCCCCCCATCCGGACCCGGACAGAACCTGTTCAGATCAGAGCTCCTCGCCACCGGCAGCCCGGGCATCCCGAACGCGGCTCTTCCCCCCAGCAAACCCGTGTACTCGACCCCGTCGCCTGTTGAAAACATACCGCAAAACAATGAGTGCAAGATGGTCGAGTTGCGCGGTGCCAAAGTGGCTTCTTTCACCGTGGACGGCTGCGAGCTCATCTGCCTTCCTCAGGCGTTCGACCTGTTCCTGAAGCACCTGGTCGGCGGACTGCACACGGTCTACACCAAGCTGAAGCGGCTGGAGATCACGCCGGTGGTGTGCAATGTGGAGCAGGTCCGCATCCTCAGAGGGCTCGGCGCCATCCAACCCGGGGTAAACCGCTGTAAACTCATCTCCAGAAAAGACTTCGAGACTCTGTACAACGACTGCACCAATGCGAGGTTAGTTGAGAGCTTTGTACGTCATTTTGGTTTAAATGGCTTTACGGACAGCCGTGCGTAAAGGCGCGGGAGCAAGGAAGGGGGAGACATTTTTCCTTTATAAAACAAGTGGTTCATGCGATGTGATGTTATCAGTCCGTTTTAATCGCTTATTGTAGTGTGCGTAGGCGTGTGAATGTGCGTGAGCGTGGGGTTCAAAGTCCATCCAAACATCCAAGCAATGTGCTCATAGTTGTCTGTTGGATGGGAAGAGGCCAGCGCACAACATCAGTGAAAAAAGTTCAGTGAAAGTTTTAAACACGTGCAGGGCAAAGCTGTGCCATGATGGATAGGCTGCCTGCCCCAGTACAAATGAATCGATAATGTAGGCTACATCTCGGCAGAGTTTCACAGTGCTGCTGTTGAATAAACTTCGTGTAGAGCTGCCACTGCAAAGACAATTTCAGAAACAAGAGCCCAGACATCTTTTATGAATCCAACTTTACTTTTATTCCTCTTAATTTAATGCAACTTTTAGCTTCATTATATTTTAAAAATTACTCTGGAATAAAACTAGGTTATGCCTTATGTGCCCTTGCCACAGGGGCAATATAATTTCAATTATGATAACTTTTATTTTCAGAAAGTAAACAAGACAAATGCAGATTATCAGAATTAGATGACATGGAAAATGTTTTGTACTAATTGTTTTCTTTGTATTGACAGACAGTACATGGATGTTATGGTACACTCAGGGCTCCTTGAAAAAGCATGAAGCCAGTTTTTTTTCACACTGTAAATGCTAGTTATAATTGCCACACACACACACACACACACACACACGCATGCACAAGAGTGTGCCTTAATCAAACATCCTTGATTTCTGTTAAACAAGGAAATCAATATAATATAGTGAGTGGGATAAACAGTTATACATGTGAAAATTAATGCATTAACTGATATTACCAAATCAAATATTTTGAGCTTTATGTGTTTTAATATGGAGTGAAATAAGTGGGGAGCAATATTTGATTAAATGCCATTTTTGCTGTCCTGTTGCTCCCAGCTTTGATGTATTGCTCAGTCTCACAGGATGGTTCAGCCTGGTCAAATTTACCATCTTACCTGTCAGTATGATTGATTCCATATTGATCTCCTACCCAGAAATGAGCTGGAAATGCAAATATGATGGAAAGGCTCACATCAGTGGGGAATAGCAATAAACACTTTGAGTCACTTGGTTATCTCAGTTTATAAGTATACAGGCTTTTGAAAATTATAGTATAAGATTAAATTTAATTCTGACTTCTAGATACACACAAACACAGAATTTGCTTTGCAAAAGACTATTTTATGTACATTTTCTGGACCATCTTAAAAAAATGATGAGGTTGAATACATTTTGAGCCTCAAAGCATTGTTTTTTTTCAAAATGCACTATTAGGCCTGGTCAGAGAAAGCAAAATCAAATAACATTTTGAGCAAGACTTTCAGAGAGATAGTATTACAATGAAACAGTTTTTATTCTGAAGCTTTTTTCTCATGTAGTTAATTTATTTAATTTTTTAGTTGCCTACAGTTCCTCTTCTTGTCAGCCTCACACATACAAGATTTGGACCTTTTAAATGTGCTGCAGCTCCATATTCTAAGAGCAATCGCCTCAACAACTCACCTGTGCACTTTGGTGCTTAAGCATCATTTACATAAAGCATCAAGGGAGCAGAACCCCCCCCCCCCTTTCTATAGAGAAAGACATACCGTGCGGTGATCCTCCTCTGAAGCCTGGCGTGGGGCTTCAGGTGACAAAGTATGTGGTTGAACTCTCCGGGTTGTCAATGGGGGGATGGCCAGCGATGGGGTTAAAGGATAATGCAGTGCCTCGCGTCGCTTTAATGACGCTAAAGTGCTGGGCTATTACGGGCACATGGACAGGACTGTAATTGTCTCTGAAAGCAGCCAGGTACTCCCGGTGCTGGGCTGAAATCAATCACTCAGACCCGGCCTGCCTGCCTGCCTGCCCCATTTGGAGAATTACATCATGGAACAGTGAGGCATCCGCTGGATAAAAGGCTTCTGTTACTTAGAAAGAGTTGATTTTATTTGCAAGGATGTGTGCTTTACACTGTCTGTCATTGAATTGCCGCTGACAAAATGATCAGTCTGAGTAAACAGGACACAGGTTGCCCTGTAGGTGAGAACGAGTTCTCTCTCAAAAGTCGATGTTGCGTTTTGCACCGACTTACTGTCAGTTAGAGTTCACCGGTTAACCTGCTCAGGTTACACAACAACAGCCTGCTGCCTGAGATAGTTTAGCTTTTCATCTCGCCCTATTACTACAATGTCACTACTCTTTTTATACATTGGCAGAGTGGTAACAATGAAGTGAATAATACTCCCGTACAATGGGTCTTACTATTTCACATGCTGTTTTTTCCCTCCCACGGTCTATTGTGTTAAAACAACACTACTCTCATTTTGCACACAGTGTGAATGTGAATAGCATCATAGAGCACTGCTGCATCCCACTGTTTTAGTTTTGATGTGGACACAAACAAGCTCCAACCAAATTGTTCCTTACTATGCTTACTTTAGCATAACACTATTTGAACACGTTAAATGGAAAATAGTATTTTTCAGAAAATATGTGTTTTTTTTAGGGATGGATTCAAAATTTGAATTTGTTATGTAAAATTCCTTATTAATACTTTTACAGTGAGTGTTTGAACTGTGTGTACTTTGGCTAGTAAGCGGCATAGTATTTTAGTAATTATTATCATCTTCAAAGATACTAGGAATATAGTTATTCTCGACCCTTCATTTTCTTAAGGACTCTCGTGCCAGATTAACAGTGTTCGCCCTCGCTCCCAGACTGATCCAGGTTCAGCCAACTCCCCTGCATTATGACTCTGGCCCTCCAGGAGCCCTCTGTTCCAGCTACTTGTTTTCCTTTTCATTTTCCCTGTTGTGGGATGGAAAAGGTTCTTATTGCTGTGTGACACTTGAACTCTCTGAAAGGTTATTATAACACGGGGGGCGGTGCAGAGATATCGCATATCTCTCATTGGTCTGCTTTGCGGAGGCAGGCTATCCGATGCTGGGGCGTAGAAATGCAGCAGTTAATTGACAATCATTGTCTACCCTTGAAGGTTAACCACACGCCCCAGACAATGTCCCACCACTGGGAATGGGACGGCTTTTCACTTACATGCCCTTATTAAATAGATTTTCCCCAGCTCGTTTCAGTCAGACAGATCTTACTCTGAAATGTGACAGGTCACAGTGAAACGACTTTTACTTTAACAGATATACTTAATTGATACTGATATGACAGAGAGTGTTATGAGAGCTATCACCTCTCTTGTTCCTGTTTCAAGAGTGTTTATGCCTAAACACACATATTTGCAAATGACGGTAATTGTTTTGTTTAGCGCTCAGTGTGAGCTGCCACTGAGGGTGCCAGCTTGTCTCTCTCCCTCCTCTCCTCTGCTGAGCTCTCTTATAATATATTTGTTTTCTACAAGGCACGGATGTGTTTACAGGTACTCAGGGGAGATTTCTGGATTCCATTCAAATCATTCCCAGTCAGAGTGGGTGCTAAGATACCCGTCACCCAGCAACCACATCCAAGAGGGAGCTTGGGCGATAATAACTTCAAAAACAGAGTGACAGATGCCTGATTAGAGAAAGAGAGAGAGGGAGCGAGAGAGAGAGAGAGAGAGCGAAAGAAAGAGAATGGTATACAAAGCTGTTTAAAATCCAAATCTATTCAAGTACTTTCTTGAAGTCAAATTGGCCCTTATATTGTGTGTTGTTTCTCTATTGAAGGGAAAAAAGTTCTCTCTCTCACTCTCTCTCTCTTTTTTTTTAAACATTTTTAATCCTTCAGTGGGGCTCTGCTAAATTTGATTAGGTACAGTACATGTGCTCAAGTCAACTGTGCAGTTGGCAGATGGCGGCAAGGTGTTTTTTTTGCAAACAAATAGTCTCCTTGAAAATCAGAATTGCTTTATTGACTTGACATTCATTCAGCTGGAACAAGTGCAAATTACATTTTATTTTAGAAAAATCCACAGACTAGCTCAGTTGACAAAAGCAACATGTAATTTTCTTCATTTCTTTTAAGATCAGTGTTTTGTGGCTTACAGCGAAGCTGAGCCAAGACTGTCGAAACCACAGATTTCACTTATTAAAGAGGCTTTGTTTGACACTGTCTAATGTCATTTGTGGATTTAGGGGCTATTTGCATGGCAAAGAGGCCTGTGTTGTTAATTTGCCTGGTGGATGCATTAGTCGTCCAAGCTCCTATCTTATTTGCATGCCTTTACTGGATCGGTGACAGCAATTGAATTACCAATTAATTCTTCTACCAAATGAAATGGTCTAAAATCACACATTGACATCAGATCTCTTCACATTGATCAGTATATTAAAATGATCTATTTTTACTATGTTCACCAACCATAAAGGGGTATTAGCTTTGATTTTTATAGACAACATACTTAAGCTTCTCAAAATCTATCTGTCAATATGACTTATCTAGCATATTAAACTAGATTTGTTAACAGTGATTTTACCTGATGACTTTACACTTGAGACTGATTGCCTGACAGGCCAGCAATAGATTTTGGGTCACTCTGATTTCCGTTCTCCTCTTTCCCCAGTCAGAGCTCCCTTGCTTGTCTTTACTCACGAGCTCCTTCACATTACAGCACATTTAGGGAGCCTGGCGGAAGTCACTGACGCTCATACCAGGATGTTAAATGCTACTGACAGAAGTTAGAGGGAGCAGATGAGATTTCCTGATTGGGGAAGGAATGCAGGCCCTTGCCTGGCTCTGTCTAATATGGTCACATAGAGAAATTGATTTTCCTCAGAAATTAATTAATTTTTCATATAGCCCGAAGCTTGAGTTTAAAAAAGAGTGCACACTTGCTGGTTTCCTATTTTCCCCCTTTTTTAAAGAATTATTGCCTAATCATATTAATACTTTTGCCCCAAGGATGAAAAGATAATTGTACAAA